ATATATACATTCACACACACACACACACACACACACACACACACACACACACACACACACACACACACACACACACATACATACATACATACATACATACACATCAAAGTGTTAATCCATTTGTTACGTGATGTTTGACGGTTCAGTGTCACTCATGTTTTGGTTTTAACAGACATACATACATACATACATACATACATACATACATACATACATACATACATACATACATACATACATACATACATACATACATACATACATACATACATACATACATACATACATACATACATACAAACACATATACATACATATACATACATACAAACACACATACATACATACACACTCATACAGACCCATGATAGAGCTTGAAGTCAGGTAACCAGACTTTTTCAGCTGACAGTGTGAGACTCTTCGTGTTATCATAGTCGGCAGGATCCCATTTCAAACGATTGTCCGTCCAAGTCTGATGATAACGATGGCGATAATGAGGTTATTATTATTATTATTATTATTATTATTATCATCATCATCATTATTATAGTAATTACAATGATAATAACAGCAACAGCAGCAGCAACAACAACAGCAGCAGCAACAACAACAGCAGCAGCAACAACAACAGCAGCAGCAACAACAACAACAGCAGCAACAACAGCAGCAACAACAGCAGCAACAACAACAAATCGAAACCTCAACTTCACCAGTCAAAACCATCTAAACTCACGTAAATCTCCCAAACATAGGTGGAAACGATGTGGGTGTTCCTGTCATAGATGGCGCACTGAAATTCGATGGCCAGGTTCACCGTGGCACGTTCCGGTTCCAGCTCCTTCTCGTAAGTGTCGAGGAGGTCCTTCATCAGCCTTCCTTTGACGTCATAGTGGGAGCCTAGACTGGTCTGCTGGGAAAAATCCCGAGATGTTATTATTATTATTAATCTATTATTGTTATTATTCATCTATTGTTATTATTATTATTATTAATCTATTATTATTATTAATCTATTATTATTATTATTATTGTTATTATTATTATTATTATTGTTATTATGTTTGACATGCAGAGCATTTAAAAACTGGTTGATGGTGAATCCAGGGTTCATCCAGATCCCAAAGAGATTCATCCAATTATGATTATTATTATTATTATTAAGATTATTATTATTATTGATATTATTATTATTATTGTTGTTGTTATTATGTAATGTACCTACCCCGGCTAATAAAACTGCCAGCGCGTAGATTACAATGAGCTTCATGTTCTGCCTTGGTACAAAACAATTATCATGGTTATTATTATGATTAATATTATTATTATTATGATTATTATTATTATGATTATTATTATGATTATTATTGTTATTGTTATTATTATTACTATTATTATTATTTGAATAATGAAGAAATGGAAACTAAAGGCCGATAACGTAAACCAATGAAAGTGATGGCAATATTATTATTAATTATTAATAATATCATCTAGATAATAATAATTATAATAAGTAATAATAATTAAGGATGATAATAATCTAGAATATGTTCTATCTATATAATAGCGAAATTGGGACGAGAAGACTAACTTCTTGAGAAGTTTCACGATCGGATCGTTCATACCCCTTAAATGCACTCGGATATATATATATATATATATATATATACAAAGAAGGAAAAAATTTTCCATAATTTTGTTTACCGGAAGATAATTTTTATCATGATAATCGTATGGTTATTATCATTTGTTTTTATGATGGTTAGTATCATTGCCATCTTCGTCTTAGTCGTCGTCATCATTGTAGAAAACCATCGTCTATGAAATCAACATTGTTGTTGTCGTTGTTTCGATCTAACAGTCGTTATACCATGGCATCCAGTATCATTATAGGTCTTCGTACGGTGGTGAAATGGTTAGAGATGCCTGTTTTGTTCGGTCTAACTCGCCGTGACTGGTTTCAAATTCAACGACATCCTTGCCTATTTTATGCCAAATTGTATCATAAACGTATATGTATGTTGTACGTTTTTATATGGGAATGTATACATTTCTATGTATGTATGTGTGTGTGTGTGTGTGCGTGCATGTGTGTAGATATGTGCGTGTGTATGTGTGAATGTGCGTGTTTCATGACTCTAGTGACTTTTAAACTTTGTCATCCCCATCTTCAACAGAGTTAATAATTTTTGTTATTTTTGTTAACGAACTTTCAAACTTTAACACTTACGTAAAATTTTATCAAGAGATTCCCAATCATGGTATTGTACAACGGTAAATATTTTCCAAGTGTTTTAGTTAATATTCTAAAATAAACAAATTTTTTACTATTCGTCCAACAATTTTTGAAACTTGAACTGTGTGGTTTCCTTGAAATTTTTTTGGTGTAAATTTTGATCATCATCTTCATTAACATCATCATCATTTCTATCATCATCATCATCATCATCATCATCATCATCATCATCATCATCATCTCTGTCATCATTATCCTCAACATCTCCGTCATCATCTTCTTCATCTCCATCATCATCATCTGTGTGTTAAATAAAGTCTGTGGATTCTTGGATTTTATATACTTAATAGTTAGTAACATTGTCTAAGTGTTTTTCATATTTTAAAAGGATTTTAAAATTTAAAATAACGAAATTTAACACCAATTGACGATAATTTTTTCAAAATTAAAAAGTGAAGAAAGAATGCATGCAACAGCATCGGTTATAACAACATTAGTTTATTATCGTATTGCCAAGCGAGAATATCAACATTTTAATAGATTAATTAATTCATTCATTTATTCTTAAACTTTCCTACCATCACTGTCGTCATCATCACTATCATCATCACTACCATCATCATCATCACCATCATCATCTACCCTCATTATCATCATCATCATCTTCTTCTTCTTCATCGTCATCGTCGTCATCATCATCACGGGGATTTCTCGAAAAGTTGGACGTTTTTGAAGTAGGCATCATGGATCGGACCGTCAACTTCTTGCGACCTTCTGTACGGTGGGTTCAAGGCCGTCTCAAGGTCATTCAGGGAGGTCGTGGGGGTCGTGAAGGTAGGGAGAGTATGCAGGAGGCTCTGATGATGATGATGATGATGATGATGATGATGGTCGTGGTGGTGGTGATTTTGATGATGTTGAAAGCAACACAAGCGGTAACAGGATGATTATTTTGTAATAAATTTTGCAAAAAAATTCACTTTCAGTCCTCTTAAGTCACTGGCAAGATTGTCAACCTGCCTCTGAAACTTAACAACAAATGCAACACTCTCAACATCGGCAACATTGTTGCTTTTGTTGCCAATTGTTGTTAAGCCTTTGGCAACAAATCGATGTTTTTGTAGTTGTTGTTGGTCGTCGTTGTTGTTGTTGTTGCCAGTCGAAAAGTTGTCTATACCGCTATTTCTGAACATTTCGTCAACAAAAACTCCTTCGTTTATGGCTTCGCCTATCAAAGATTTCATACCAGGATAGTAAAAGAGCTTCTTGTTGAGTATGTCTTCTATTTTTGTGGTTGTTGTTAGTTGCTGTGATGAAGTTGTTGTTGTTGTTGGTGGTGATGATGTGGTAGTTGCTGTAGTTGGTGGTGTAGCTGCTGGCTGTTGTTGTGGCAACTGTTGTTGTGGTAACTGTTGTGATAGAGTCATGGATGTCGGTTGTTGTTGTTGTGGCGATGTTGTTGCTACTGCCGCTGAAGACTGTTGCATTTGGGATACTGCTAACGTTGTCGTTGCGGTTGGTTGTTGCAGAACCGTTGTTGCGGTTGGTTGCTGATCAGTTGCTGCAACTGCTGCTTGAGACATTGAGAGATCGGATTTTGTACCGTCAGTTGTTTGTTAACTCTTTTAAAAACTAGTTAAACAACACCAAGGATGTTTTTTAACGCTGTACCACAAGCCGTGCAATTGAACGCATAAACAATACGTAACGAATTTATCCTCTAATAATAACTTTCCTAACAACCCTCAGGAGTTTTTTTCAAAAATTTTTATTTTTGCTTTCTCATTCGTCAAGTAACCTCTAAATTTTTCACAAGAAAAATAATGACAATAATAACAAATGCTAATCAGAATAATAATAGTAATAATAATAAAGTTATCATTATTACTATTATTATTATGACCAAAAAACTATATATATATACATTATATATATATATATATATAATGCAAATATTATATATATATATATATATATATATTTTACATGAAGCTTAATTTGTAAGAATATAAAAGATGAAAATAGTAAATGTGGTAGTAGTAGTATTAGTAGTAGTTGTAGTAGTAGTAGTAGTAGTAGTAGTAGTAGTAGTGGTGGTGGTAGTTGTTAATATTATTACTTTCAAATGTTTAAATATACAACGTACCTTCAAACTAAACGTTAAACAGAAATAAATAAGTATGTATTGAGTTGTATTGTACTGTATTGTATTTGTATTGTATTGAGTTGTATTGTATTTGTATAGTATTGTATTAGGTTGTGTTGTAGTTGCATTGCATTGTATTGTATTGTATTTGTATTGTATTGAGTTGTATTGTAATTGTTTTGTAATGTATTGTATTAGGTTGTGGTGTAGTTGTTTTGTATTGTACTGTATTGTATTTGTATTGTATTGAGTTGTATTGTATTTGTATTGTATTGTATTAGGTCGTGTTGTAGTTGTTTTGTATTGTACTGTATTGTATTTGTATTGTATTGAGTTGTATTTGTGTTACCTGTTTGTTTTTAAACGCCAGACTTCCATTAAATATTTCCTCCCATTAGCAAAGAAAAATGAACAAACTTGCACGCTTTGCATGCTTCAAGACTCTAACAACAACAAAACATTCCATGAAAACGCAAACACATACATACATACATACATACATACATACATACATGCATACATACATACATACATACATACATACATACATACATACATACATACATACATACATACATACATACATACGTACGTAAATTTCACATGTTTTTTGCATTAGTCATAAAATCTATTTGCAGACCGTGCAAAGATGTGCAAGCAGTAATGATGAAGATGATGGTCTTCATCACTTTTATTTTCAGTAAACATACTGATACCTTATAATAATCATCATCACCATCCTCATCATCTTCATCTTCCTCCTCATCATCATCACTATCAGTACTTTTTTGAATAGAACGCATTTATTTTTTATAGATAAAAATCAAAAAAAAATTATTGTTGCTATTTTTAGACATGATGGAATTTAACAAATGCCTTTTCCCTTAGTAAGAGAAAATGATGATGATGACGACGACGACGATCATGATAATGATAATAGAACTTATAATGATGATAATGATGATGATGATGATGATGATGATGATGATGATGATGATAATGATGATGATGGTGGCGACGAAAACTTGAAAGAGAAACAAACGACAATGTTGACAACAACGACGACGATGTTGATGCTGAAGATGACGTCATAATAATAATCATAATAATAATAATAATAATAATAATAATAATAATAAAAATGATAATGACAAAAAAGATGATGATGATGATGGCGGGTGAATGTTGTGATTGTAAATGTTGTTGTAGCTACTGGCCCTATCTGATGTCTTGAAGTTCGGGACATTTTGGGAACCGATAACAAGTGATGATAATGATGTCGTATTATTATTATTGTTATTATTATTGTTGTTGTTGTTGTTATTATTATTATTATTGTTGTTGTTTTTATTTTTAGCGGTTTTTTTATTATTTTTATTTGTTTTCGTTCGCTTTGTTGATTTCTTACCGGCGCTGTTGTTTAGGGATAGTAATATAGTTGCGTTCGTAGACGACGACGACGATGACGATGTTGTTGTTTGGATGCAGCTCCTGTCTGGCAAGTTATCTGAGTTTATTTTTTGGTTCTATTATTATTATTATTATTATTATTGTTATTGATTTTTATGCTTTACCGATATGAATGTGTTGTGTTTATAAATATGCCGCACATATCTACACATACCTACAAACATACCTACATACAAATCTACACACATACCTTCATACAAACACGTACACACACACGCACCACACACACACGTACACACACGCACCACACACACACACACACACACACACACACACACACACACACTTGATAAACTTTCGAAGGTCATAACAGAAGCGTTATTAATCTTGTCGTCGTTGAAGTTGCTTACGAAGCCACATTGTCCTCTATTAAGGACGCTGAGCGTTCGCCAAGGGTAATAGTTCATTTGTTCGGGGTAAGTGGATATTATCTGCGTGCGAGTGTGTGTACGTGTGTGTGTGCGTGTTGTATGTGTGTATATGCTTGTCTATGTATGTGTATGTATAAATTATATATGTTACTACTACTAATGCTGCAGCTTGCTACTACTACTACTACTGCTGCTACTACTACTACTACTACTACTACTACTACTGCTACTACTGCTACTACTACTGCTACAACTACCTTACTATTACTACTACTATTACTACTACTATTACTACTATTACTACTACTACTAACATTATTACATCTAAAAATAGAATATTTATTTGACCTACAGACCCAGCAAGTAAATTTGTCCTTGAACTTGGTGATTAAGACCATTGTGACGTCATTGACCATCTCGTGACCGACGCACTGGAAATCTTGATTATGATCCCGATGATAATTATAACTATAATTATTATCGTTAAAAATTTTATTATGAATATTACTTTTCTTTTATTATAATCATGATGCCAGTTGTTGCTGCAATACATGTTTGGTGGATGCCAACGTGAACAGTGTTATTGTTGTTGATAATAAAAATAATAATAATAATAACAATAATAATAATAATAATAATAATAATAATAATAATAATAATAATAATAGTATTAATAATTCCATAATTAATTCCATCAAGAGCCATAATTCTATAAATATGACAAAAAGATATCCCGGCAATAATTATAAGCGACTACACTGAGTTAATTGTATTCTCATTGAACTCTTAGAATTTTAATTGGGGTGTAATAATAATAATAGTAATAATAATAATAATAATAATAATAATATTGTAACCTAGATAATTATTGTTGATAATATTGTGGCAGTTTGGTGCCAGTCTCACGGTTAAGATGTTACTGGCAGAGCACGAAGTTTCATTCCAATCGTTGAAAACCCCACCACAGCTAGCTACCATGTTGTTGTTGTTGTTGTTGTTGTTATTATTGTTGTGGTTGATGACGTCAACACTGATACTTCCGCCGAGTCCGCACTGCATGTATTGGAATCGCTCGTGAGCTGGGGAAAAAGTATTCAATTTTTCATGAGTGAGTTTTAATCACAGAAATCACATTTGTCGTTTTCGTCATTATCTTCATCGTCATCTTCCTCCTCATTTTTATTATCCTTATCATCATCTTCATCAGCAGCAGCAGCAGATGCAGCCACTGCCAATGCATCATCACTTACGTAACAGCATCTTCATCTCGTCGCTTCTGATGGCGTCGCCAAGAGGTTCCCTGTCTTTTTGAAACTTGCAAATATCGAAGGAGGAATCAGTCAGACTGCTCTTAGCTGGGAATGAATATTATTATTATTATTATTAAAATTATTTATTATGATTGTAATTAGAACAATAATAATTATTATAACTGTTATTTCATTTTATTATTAAAAATTGAACCAACGTAATAAGGAGAGAAAAATTTTCAACTTACACATCTGAAAGTATAGAACTGGTTTCTCTTTTCTAAAATGTAGACACGTGTATCTGGGCCGACTGGATGAATGAATGAACGAAGGAACGAACGAATGAATGAACGAATGAATGAATGATTGATTGATTGAATGATTGATTGATCATACTAGCCAGCCAGCCAATCGGCTAGCCATCCAACTAACCATCCATTTGAAAATATAGAGAGCATTTTATAATTCTCCTTCTTCCAATGCTTGCTCTTGCAGATGTATGCTGTACCCCCCCTACTGAAATGGATTGTCTCATTTTCAACTTTGACCTCTTCCATGCGATCTGATTCTATTAATAGCCATCTGAATGAAAAAATGAACGAAAGAATGAATGAATGAGTGAACGAAAGACTGAATGAATGTGTGAATGAGTCAAGTAAAAATTGAACTATCAACCTAATAAACAAATGAATAAAAAATAGATGGATGAACGAATGAACATAAAAAACAAATAAACGAATAAAAAATTGAATGAATAATAATAATTATTATTATTATAATAAATATTATAATAATTATTATTATTATTATTATCATCACCTTCCTCTATATTCTTCGGGCAAGAAGCATTCCGCTTTCGTTGATGGTCCTAAATCTTCTTTGTGACCTGTGTGTGTGTGTGCGTGCGTGTGTGTGCGTACGTGTGTGTGTGTGTGCATACCCGCGTGTGAGTGCGTGCGTGTGCGCGTGTGTAACAAACGAACAAACAAACACAACAAAAATTTTACCACATAATCCGCAAGATTGTTTACAGTATGTGACGATTTTGTGTAGGACCGAATTGACACACTTGCCCTCGGCTGCCACCGCCCCACAATTCTCCGTCTCGTCGTAACATACGCCTGGTCCTAATAACAACAACAATAATAATAACAACAACAACAACAACAACAATAATAATAATAATAAATACTACTACAACTTTTATTTACTGCAACTGCATCTAGTACCGGTAATTCTACTACTACTGCTGCTGCTGCTGCTGCTGCTACAACTACTACTGCTGCCTCTACTATTACTGCTATTACAAATACTACTTCTAACTAATGATGATAATAATGATGATGAATGATTTGTTGGTTTTTCAAAGATGAGCTGATTGGCCGCTGGTTTGTTGGTTGATTGATTGTCTGGCTGGTTGATAGCTGGTTGGTTGGTAGATTTGATTGGTTAGTTGATTGTCTGGTTGGTTGGTTGGCCTATTGAATGATTAGCCGTTTATACGTACCGGTTCTTCGTAAGCGAAGTACAACACTTCTAATCTCACCGTCATAATTCTTTTTATTATCATTATTATTATCACCATAATTATTAATGTCATAATTATTATTTATATTTTTATAATTATAATAAACAGGAACTTTTCGATACAAATTATTATCATTGACGTCAGAGTTGCGATCCCTATCTGGCTTTTTGACATTCATTCCACCAGATGATGATGACGACGACGATGACGAAAAAGATGAAAAAGATGGAGATGGAAATGACGAAGACGATGGAGGTGGAAATGATGAAGAAGATGAAAAAGAAGAAGAAGACGATGACGATGAAGAAGATGAGTAGGGTGACGCTGGGGCGATGATCTCGAAGTACAGGGTGGAGTTTATTTCCAGCTCGTTGTTGGTGTCCATGTTGGCTGGAATCCGCTAGAACCATGACGATTAATAATAATAAGAAGACGAATAATAGAAATAAAAATAACAAAAACAATAATAATAAAACTAACAAGGGTGTATTGAGGGTATTTTTTATTGTACAGGCCAAGAAATACGTAGGTAAACCGCGATTCAGTTACATGCCCCCAACACACCAAGCTAGAAGATACTGGAGATGGCGGTAGTCATAACTATTATTATTATAATTATAATAATTATTGTCATAATAATAATAATAATTATTATTATTATTATTGTTATTATTATAGTTATTATAAAGCGAAATGCAATTATTTTTCCATCGTAACAACGAAGGAGAGTTTTTTCTATCATGTTGCTTGCCGTGGTTTTCTTATTCAACTTCAAAATGTAGTCGGAGAAGCTACTACAACAACAACAACTACTACTACTACTACTACTACTACTACTCTACTACTACTACTAATAATAATAATAACCATCGTTATCGGCAACAAAGTTACATCTTCCGTCTGGAAAGTTGAGGACAACTCCATCGCCAGACATGCACTCGCTTTCTAGTCTGTGTGGACGCAAGAACTGCTCTGTCCTCCTACATAGAGGCTGTTTATTATTATTATTATTTATTATTATTGTTATTATTATCAGTATTATTGTTATTATATTATTGTTATCAAAACTTAAATTTAAAAAGCGGGTGCAATAACTTTAAACTTTGAATATAAAACTTTTGAATAGTCCCCATTAGGACTTTGTAATACTTTTAACTTCTCACTGGTCAATTTACTATGAGCATGGACATTTTAGTATCGTCCTACTACGTTAAATTCTCTTCTATCTTCATCATACTCATTACATTGTGAGAGAACAACTGAAGGAATCCTACTTTAAGCTAACATCTTCTGCTGTCTTAATAGTACACTCATTCGTACCGAATGAAGGAGCAGACTACAAGTTTTAAATAAATTTAACTCAATTTATCTTTTTTTATTTTATCATTTGTTATTATTATTATTGTTGTTGTTATTATTATTATTATTATTACGAGCTAACCTCAGTGCTAGAATCATCTAGGAACAGCCTGTAATCGAACCCGCCACTGAATGGACAAAATGACCAGCCCCTCATGTCGCCAGACACCCAGACGTTTGTCTGCCTGGTCAGCTGACTGTCTAAACACAGGTTAGCTTCGTTCGTTTGTCTAGGAGAAGCTGGTTGTGATAGTGGTAATTGAATGAATGAACGAACGAACGAATGAACGAACAAACGAATGAACGAACGAACGAATGAACAAAATCAACATTAATTATATAAAAAAGAAATGAAAAATAAACAAATTAATTGAAAAAGGAGACAAAATGGCGGCCGATTATGAGACAGGCATGGAAAGAAATTTGATGACGATGATGAAGGCTGCATCGATGAATGATCGTTATTATTATTATTATTATTGTTGTTGTTGTTGTTGTTGTTGTTGTTGTTGTCGTCGTCGTTTTAATTATTTTCATTGCTATTGTTAGGCTGTGTTGTTCTTTTAATTTTTCATTTGCCGAACACCTGCCAGTTCCCGGTTTTTATTCCTTCATCAATCCGTCTCTCTATCGCGTTCATTCATTCATTTATTCATTCATTCATTCATCAAGTTTTCTTTCTATCATGTCTATTCATTCATTCGTCTTTTTCGCGTTCTTTCATTCACTCATTCATTCATTCATTTGCTAACCCATCCAAAATAAGACAATATTTGGTTTGTTGAAAGCGAACCTCAGACAGGTAAATTCATTTCCTCTGTTATAACAACAAATCAATCAATCAACTAGTTAATCAATCAATCAATTAATTAGTCAATCTTCATTCAAATAATTAATCAATCAATCAATCAATTAATCAATCAATCAACCGGCCAACCAATCACCTTTCAGAATCCAACTTAGCTCGATATTTCTCATTCACCTCTTCAGATAGGCAGGTAAATTTCTGAATAAACTGCTTCTTGCTACAGTTTTGAGTCTCATTGTGGCACCTTACGGATGTTACTAATTTGAATTCAATATTTGATTTGGTTACATATATCTCGTAGAAGCTAGTCAAATTTCGCGGATAAATTGGACGATGTTGTTGTTGCTGCTGTGGCAGTTGTTCTTGTGGCTGTCGTTGCTGCTGTTGTGGCTGTCGTTGCTGCTGTTGCAATTGTTGTTGCGGCTGTCGTTGCTTCGGTTGCTGCTGTTGTTGTTGTGATGGTGGAAATTTGTGATATTGCTGATGTTCATGTTGATAAGGTTGTTTGTAAGATTTACTATGTTGTTGATGTTGCTGATGTTGTTTTTGACGTTGTTGTTGTTGATGTTGTTGTTGTAAGTATTGCATGAAATTCTTTTTTAAACCAATGCCAACATCACCAGCATTTTTGAGATTATTATCATCATCGTCATCGTCGTCATTAAGATTATCATTGTTGTAATCATCTTCTTCATCATCTTCACCAGTAGTTTTCAATTTATTATTATTATTATTGTTATTATTATTATTATTAAATTTTAAATGTGACACCCACAACGCTCCTCTGAAATCTTCATTGGATTGAAATTTATTATTATTATTATTATTATTATTATTATTATTATTATTATTATTATTATTATTATTATTACCGTTAATGTTATTAATATTGTTGTTGTTGTTGTTGTTGTTGTTGTTGTTGTTGTTGTTGTTGTTGATACTTTTATCATCACCATTGTCTATATTTCTATTCTTATGTGCTTTATAATTGTCATCAAAATGATGATGATGATGAAATTGGCGCTGATACTGATGATGAGAATGATGATGATGATGATGATGATGACGATGATGATGATGATGACGATGCGACATTACGTCATCGTTATCGTCATCCGTCCATAGAAAATCTGGGAACGTGCAGTATCCTGAGACTACTGGGATGTAGAAGTTGGGAATTTTAAATCACTTGGAAAAAAAATCGCCATCGTTATCATCACCACCACCATCATCATCATCATCACCATTATCTTCATCATCACCATCATCGTCATCATCTATAACATCATCATCTATAGCAGCATCAGTATTTTTATTATTCAAAACTTAACAATGGGAAGAATTATTTATCAGTAATTTTTTTCAACACTTACAAAATTTCCAGCTATAAAACAATAAAAGGCCTTTGTCCCGGATTATCATCAATCTCATCATCATCACCATCATTACCATCACCACCTTCATCATTCTCCTCATCATCGTCATCATCCTTTTTATCGTCGTCATCATCATCGTCATCATCAATACTTTTTAATTTTCAGACAGTTTCTAACCCAATAAACCTTCTAAAGTTAGAAGGGCCAGGCATGTTAGAGGTCGCGATAGACACACCATGCTTTCGAACCTGGGAGGTCTGGGTTAGAAAACAATTTTATTTTGTCATCATCGCTATCGTCATCATCAACAACATCCTCATCATCATCGTCGTCGTCATCTTTTCAGCTTATTTACGATTCTCAAATTCAATTTCATTCTCAAATTTGAATGCCCGTCATCGCCGTTGTTGTATTGTATTTTACGGTCGTCATCAACATTCATCATCATCATCATCATCATCATCATTAATATTATTATTATTATTATTACTATTATTATTTTTACTACTCTTATTGTTCTTGTCGTTGTTTTAAATAGTAGTAGTAGTAGTATTAGTAGCAGTAGCAGTAGCAGTAGTAGTACTAGTGTACTTGTAGTAGTAGTAGTAGTAGTAGTATCAGCAGCAGCAGTAGTAGTAATAGTAGTAATTTTGCCGTAAATATGCAAACAAATTAATAAATGGAAAAAAATTTTATGGCGAGGTGGGAATTTTTTTGAAAATAATAATAAAAAAAAAATAATAAATAATAATAATAATATAAAAATAATAATTCAACTGTAAATATTGTCTGGTGATTTAATAATTCTCTCGTTGAAAACTGTCATTGAATGAATGAATGAATGAGTGAGTGTGTAAATGAATGAATAATTATATTGTTAAATGAATGAGTGAATGGAATGACGAATTGATAGACGGATAAATGAACGAATGGATGAATGAACAGAACTAACTATTAAACAAGATATGAATGAATTAAATATGAATGAATGAATGAATGAATGAATGAATGAATGAATGAATGAATGAATGAATGAATGAATGAATGAATGAATGAATGAATGAATGAATGAATGGATGAATGAATGAAAAAATTTAACAAACGAAAGAAGGAAAGAACAAACGAATGAATGAACGAACAGACGAAGAAAAGAAAGAACAGACAAACGAACGAACGAACAAATAAATGATTGAAAGAACAAACGAACGAATGAATGAACAAGCATCATCCGAACTCGCAAAATAAATTTCAAAATTTTCAATACACCTATTGTATTGGTAAAAAAAACATAGACGCACATACACACATTAAAACATACATACTCACATACAAACACACATACAAACAAACAAACATACATACTCACATACAAACACACATACAAACAAACAAACATACATACCTACAGTTTTTCTCCCATTATACTACATACATTGTATACAAGATACAAAAATACACCCATACATGTTTATTTTATCTCGGTCGGTGTGTATATTGTATATGTTGTTGTATGTGTTGGTTTTGTATTGTATATTTTGGTATTTTTGTATGTATGCGTATTTTTGGTTCGTTTTTATTCATTCACGTCTTCACACTCCAACGATCGTTCATTCATGGAACGCTCAAAAACAGATGTCGATGACTATTATTATTATTATTATTATTATTATTATTATTATTATTATTATTATTATTATATTTATAATTATTATTATCATGGTTATTATTATTATATTTATTATCATAGATATTATTATTATTATAATTGTTATTGTTGTTGTTATTGTTGTTAGTCTCATTACATTTCTGATGATGATGTTCTTAAAGATGTGATGATGATGACGACGACGACGATGATGATGACGGTGATGATGATGATGACGACGACGACGGTGACGATGATGATGATTTTTACTAGGTGTGTAAATTTTTCGAGATGCATTGTGACAAGGAAATTCTATTAGCATTGTACTTTAAGTTCATATTGGGATATGTTTGTATGAGTCTGTATGTATGAATCTGTATGTATGTGTGAGTTAGTATGTATGTGTTTATGTATATGTGTATAGGTGTGTGCGTGTATGTATGTGTGTTTGTATGAATGTAAAGCACAGAATTGCAGAACAACATATGGATGTATGCATGGGATGGGAATGTTTGTATGTATGTACGTTTGTATGTTTGTGTGTGTATGTTTGCATGTATGTGTGTGTGTATGTTTGTATGTACGTGTATGTGTATGCTTGTATGTTTGTGTGTGTGTGAGCATCATGATATCGGCCTTATTGGTACTTAACGATGTGCTAATGTAAACAATTGACATGTCCCTCAGGAGAGTTTTGTTTGGTTCGCTTTGAAATTTGTTTGTATGTACCTTCTTGTATATTTCGCTTCTCTATGTATGTATGATATATGTATGTATTAGAGATGAGCGAAAATTGAAATTGGTTCCCAATTCCTTAATATTTTTTTTCTCATTCCAGATTCATTCCGAATTCACATTTATGACAACGTTCCCGAAAATTCCCCTTCCCTATTTTTTAACTCATTCCGGCTTTGTCCATCCCATTTCCTACCATCTCCATCGATTTCCTAAAATTTCCATTTCAGAAAATAAGGTTTCACCAATTTTCATAAAAATCTTGCTAGGCTGACTTTCACTTTAATTTTTGTGAATAAATGGAATTTAAAAGAAAAATCCCATTTGAACCCTGGGATTTCCGCGATTTCCGTTTCCATCCTCACCTCTAGTTTGTATGTATAGTTTGTGTTTGTATGTTTGTGTGTATACTACTTTGTATATTTTGTGTTTGTATGTTTGTATGTAATATGTATACATGCGTCCGTGCCAGCACATACATACAGATAAACACATACATTCATACATATATACATTCATAAATACATACAAACAAACAAACATACATACATACAGACAAACAAACATACATGCACACATACTAACATACAATGTTGCTCGCTTTAAAATGTTTTTTTAATTGAGGTGGGCAGTGGAACAGCAGTTCAATCGTCCTACTGAGAAATCTAACCGATCATTTATTCCCTCTCTCTCTCTCTCTCTCTTTCTCTCTCTCTCTTCTTCAATCTGTTTTTTCTCTGTTTCACTCTCTTTTATCTCTCTCTCTCTCTCTCTCTCTATGCTTTTATTACTTTATTGAACAGATAAAATTTGATACCAAAATATGCCTCTTCATTATTTCAATTGCTGTTACCTTCAGATAATTTTTTAGTTTTTGTTGTTTAACATGTTCGTTTTGATGTTTTGTATGTTTGTTTGTTTTTATATACAGGTTTATTTGTTTGTTTGTTTCTATGTATGTTTGTGTTTCTTTCGGATGTATTCATACAAAAGAGACGGCTCGGAAATGAACTATAAAATATCGATAGGGGGGGGAACACGAGATTTGTTCAAAATTGAATGAAATAATTAATTCATTCCTACAAGATGACATTGCTAAAACACTCCTCCATATTATTGTAATAATTTGTCATCGGTATAAAACCACACACACACCCACACACACAAACAAACACACATACACACACACACACACAATTGCACAGATAAACACACATATATTCAAAATTTTCATTCCTACTTAGATGCATACATTCAAACAACAAAAGCAAACGAACATTATAAACGTATATATATATATATATATATATATATATATATATATATATATATATATATATATATACTCACAAAAAACAACAAACGAATAAACAAACAAACACGCATGAGTAAAAAAACCGGAAACGGAAGAATTTTCGTCATCAAATGTCACGTGGCGCTAATGAGCAATCTGTAGGCAAGAAAGATAAAGGCGACCCGCCACCATCTTTCCAAAGGTTATGACGATGACAGTGGTGATGACGACGACTATGATGATCTTTACGAGTGTGATGATGAAGATGATGATGATGAGGACGATTACAATGATCATCACAATGAAGATGTTAATGCGGAAAAAAATAATAGTTATCATCACCACTAACATCATCACCATCATCTTTTTCTTCATCATCTTCTTCTCTATCATCATGATTATTAGAACGATGACGTCACCATGACGTCATCGTCGTTCGTTATTGGTCGTCATCATGAAACGGCGAATCAAAAGTTATGGCGAAATTTATTAGGCAGTTAGGCAGTGGATTGAAAATATACGCCAGCACTAATAGCAATAACAGTAACAGTAGTAATAGTAGTAGCAGAAGTAGTAATAATAGTAGTAGCAGCAGTAGTAGTAGTAGTAGCAGTAGTAGTAGCAGTAGTAGCAGCAGTAGTAATAGTAGTAGTAGCAGCAGCAGCAGTAGTAGTAGTAGTAGTTGTAGTAGTAGTAACAGTAGTAGTGAAAATAATATTAGTAATTTTTTAAAATTTCGTTCATCGAACTTCTCTACATTTTTTTAAAATTTTATTATCGGTACTTGTTTTTGAATGAATGAATGAATAAATAAATGAATGAACGAACCAACGAACGACAAATGGATGAACGAAAAAATGAATGAACGAATGACGGAAAGATGAATGAATTTATGAATCATCCTGCGAATCAAAATAGGAGTTTACTGAATTAATAAACTAAAAAAATGTTTTAAAAGTGAATGGATGAACGGATAAACGAATAAATGAATGAATAAACGAATGAATAAACGAATGAATAATCGAAAGATTGACTGAAAGAATGGAAGAATTAATAAATGAATAAATAAACCTCTAGATGTCTACTGTCAAGGAATCAAATGTAGAATTGCGAAATGTTATCTGATGAGCTAGCTAATCAAAAAGACAATCAGTGAATCATCGAAGAACTTGTTGGTTAGATAATTAATCAAGTAATTCAATTATTTAGTTAACTAATTGATTATTCAATTAAAATTATTGATTAATTGATCAATTGAATAATTAAAATATATTAGTCAAAAACATTATCAACCGTGAGATGTACTTGCATTAAGAGTTTACATTAAAAATTAACATCTTCAATTTCAAAAATTCTTTCTCTCCCTCTATTTCTATCTCTCTATATATAAATATATATATACAAATACATACATACATACATACATACATACATACATACATACATACATACATACATACATACATACATACATACATACATACATACATACATACATACATACATACATACATACATACATACATACATACATACATACATACATACATACATACATACATGCATACATACATATATACACTAACAGATACAAAAACAATCAAACATACATACATGCATGCATACATACATACATTTAAACATACAAAAAACGAACACACATACAAACAAATAAACAGACATACTTTCATGTCTATCTACATACACCTAATTTTTAATTTCAACTAATGTTAATGGGTGAAGAAGAAAACAAGATGGGCACGCAAGAATTTTCCGTCTGTGCTTACTTTTAAACATTTTAAACAATAATTTAAACTTTTTGTATGTTTGCGTTTGTATGTTTGTATCCATGTATGTTGGCGTATTTGTTTGTTTGTTTGTTTATTTGTACGTATGCAAAGATGCACGAGCGTTTTTATTAATATGTATTTATGTATGAACGAATATATATTTATCTGTCAGTCTGTCTGTATATTTGTATGTATGAATGTTTGTATATATTTGTGTATGTGTGTGTATGTATATTATCTAAAATTTCGTTTGTTCGTTCGTTCGTATGTATGTATGTATGTATGTATGTATGTATGTATGTATGTTTGTATGTATGCAGGCGAACAAAACGTATCAAAGAACACATGAGTCTCACAGAAAATGCACTCTACTTTTGAAAGCATCATGAAAAGACGGGAGAGAGAGAGAGAGAGAGAAAGAAAGAAAGAGAAAAAGAGAGAAAGAGAGAGAGAGAGAGAGAAAGAAAGAGAGAGAGAGAGGAAGAGACAGTACAAAAGAGAAAGAAAAAACTATAATGGAAAATTAAAATTAAAAAAATTGAAAAACAAATAAAAATTGACAAATTAAAAAACGAAAAGAACGAATGAATGAATCAAAAAGAAAGAATTAACCAAAGAGAAAGAGAGAGAAAAAGAGAGAACTATAAATAAATAGATGAGAGGAATGAAAAGACAGGAAAAAATGAATGAAAAAACAAGGTGCATTTAACTTTCATCAAACTTCAGCGGCCTCAAAAAAAAGCTAATTTTTTGAAGTCATCCTTCATTTCAAGTCGTTAATTCAGATGATCATTTCAATCAGTAATATCATGAAAGAACTAGTATAAACAGTGCCGAAAACACACACAACCAAACACACACAATCAAACATACAAAAGCAAAGCAACACGTACACACACACACACACACACACACACACCAACAAACACACACTCAAACACGAAAAACAACAACATTGACACCTCGACAAATTGACTGACTACAGAAATTATGACCGTTCGTTGGTCAGTTGGTACCCATGTATGTATGTGTGTGTATGTATATATGTTTTTATGTATGTATATGTGTATGTATGTACATATGTGTGTGTGTATGCACGTGTGTGTGTGACTGGTACTTCGTTTGCAGAGCAAAATTTTAGAGAAATTGTCACTGGGCACGCGAAACAAACATGAAATTAATAAGCAACGGACACTTTTTCCCGCCTTTTCCTCCCGTCTTGACGTCATTTTCCTCATTCGCCATTTTCTTTTTCATTCAATCAATTTAATAACTGGGAAACCGATCTCTTATTTTTACTTCTTCCGCCGGTTTTCGTTCTTAAAAATTTATCGTCCGACATTTTTTTTCGAGCTGTGCTTTTTTATTTTACGTCAATATTTTTTCATTGCCGTTTCGAAGATATATAGGTAAAATACAATTAAATAGGTTTATATATATATGTGTCTGTCTGTGTGTGTGTGTATGTGTGTGTGTCTGTCTGTTTATGTGTTTGTATGCGTATTAATGTTTTTTTTTATTTAAAAATAGCTAAAATGAACAAAAAGGTTTAATTTTGCAATTATAAAAACACACTCATGAAAGAGAGAGAGAGAGAGAGAGAGAGAGAGAGAGAGAGAGAGAGAGAGAGAGAGAGAGAGAGAGAGAGAGAGAGAGAGAGAGAGAGAGAGTCCGAGAAAGAAAGAGAAAAGAGAGGAGAGAGAAAAAGAAAGAGGGAGAGAGAGAAAAAGGGAGAGAGAGAGAGAGAGGGAGAGAGATAAATATAATGATTGTGAGAGTATTTATTTATACCTATGTTGAACTAAATGGTGATTGAAATACTATCTGTATCTGTTGTAGAACTACAATCATCGTCATCATAATCATAACCATCATCTTCATCGTCGTCGTCGTCATCATCAGCGTCGGCGTCATCAACATCTTAATCACTATCAATATCATCATCAAGAACAGCATCATCATCGTCATTGCTTCATCATCTTCTTGGCACCATCGAGGTCGATGAGAGATTCAACGAGTTTGAAGTAGTTGTATTTGATGTCATAGCTCATATCGTACCAATAGTTCACTGGTTGGTGATGATAATTATGATAACAATAACGACAATAATAATAATAATAATCACCACCACCATCATCATCACCATCATCTACAATCATCATCATCACCGCAACAAACCAGCTATACAGCCGTGACTCTGCCTGACGTGGTGAAACCATAGTGATGGCAAGTATAGCATGTCACCTCTCTGAACTTTGACCTCCAGAGGTCGCGTCCTGGCATAATTTGGATAACGGTCGAGGTCAGGATTGATTGGATCGACTGGGGTCCACTTGACCTAAATAAATAATAATAATAATAATAATGATAAATAATAAAACTGCCAGATAATATTTTCTTTATTTACCGTGTTATTTTCATCAACTAAAGTATACGTATCATCACCATTGTTATAATGATGATTTCTATTATTATGATTATTATTTTTATTATTATTCTTGTTGCTATGATTATCGTCGATCGTTTCTTCTCTTTTACTCTTTTTCATCATTTTAAACCTAGCCACTGGATAGACATCTGATGATAATAATAATAATGATAATGATGATAATAATAATAATAAAATAATAATAATAAGTAATCTATCAATCAATCAACCAGCCAACCAACTAACCATAAGGAATGAATGACTGATCGGTGGGTGGTAAAAGAATGAAACTTTTCCAGCCATTAACGACGCAGTATATATTCTCGTAATGGTCTTTGTGAACTTCGAACAACAAAAACAACAATAATAACAAACATAATAATATTTTAATTATTACTATTATAAATAATAATAATAAAAATAACAATAATAATAATAACAATAATAATAATAACGTGACGTAACGGCATCCTTCTCACCCATCCAGAAATTTATGGCGTCTGGTTTGCAGCCTGTGTGCGCGTTGGTTTGTTGGAATGTATGTCGGTGTGTACATTTGTTGGAGTGTACGTTCTACTATTCAAATTAACCATAAATCCCCACCCAAAAAAGACGCTAAATATAACCGAAAGCCTCTTCGGCCCAGAGAATTGAATCGTCGACGTCCTCCCGTAGGTCTCGGTACTCTGTCGTTAAGCAGGAGTTTTGTTTCTGAATATAGTATACCCCTCTCTCCAGTTGAGATCCTCTGCTCTTCGGCATACCGGAAACTGAATAATAAAATAATAATAATAATAAATAATCATCATCATTACAAGCACTTTTATCACCATCATTCTCATCAGCATCAACATCATGAACGTCATCGTCATCTTCATTCCGGATATCATGAGCGTCATCGTCATCTCGGACATCATCAACATCACCACCACCACCACCACCTTCATTATTATCTTCACCGACACCACCCTCTCCACAATCTTCTGCATCGTCGCCATTCTTGGAACTTTCCAAGAGGTCTAGAAACTTTTTAAATTTCATAATCTTCTCATCCGGCAATGTGAACCAGCCATCATAGACGGCATCGGCAAATCCATTCGGCGTCCACGAAACAGTCACCAAATTTTCACCAATTTTCTCTCTAAATTTTATCAAAAATTTACTTTTTCAACCTATAATCGCTAGTTATAAACACATACATACAAATGCACGCATACAAACACGAGCACATGCACCCACACCTCAAATAAGTGTGGCTCCATTTTTTGCATGCCCCCCAATTGGTACAACCACCCCTGATGACCACGGGGACATTTTTCGAGACATAGTCCCTGAGGAACACAAGGGGAGAAGGAGGTCTCACTAGTTCCCGTACTCTTGACTCTAGGTATAGTTCTTTTAAGGAGATATTAAGTTAATTATTTTGTAAAGCATGATTATTTCTAGTGTAAATTTTACTTAGTTCGTAATTTCAACATTACATTTTGTGTAAGAAGCGCTTGTTATATTCTCATTTAAATTTTAATCAGTAGAAAAAAAAGACCTCTGGCTTCTAGAGATAACTTTTCTAAACATTCACCAATCTTTTCCATTGTTCTGATAACTAAATAGTGTACATGAATGAATAAAGATAATGAAATTGACAAAAAAATAGGGATCGGTGAATCTAAAAATCACAAGTTTCTCATCTATCGTCAATATTTTACTAAATAACTACGTTTGTATTGGTTACTCGGTAAGATTCTCATAAGATTCGCATTTTGGTTTCATTTATTTGGGCATTTTTTGTGAAAAATTGTGAAAAAGCAGCTAAATTTGTGGTTCAAATGGCTGGAATTTAAAACATTTCATCGAAGTTCAGATGTTACGGAACTTTAAAATTTAAATAACCCATCGGGGTGATTTAAAATTTAAATACCCTCTCAACAGAGAAAATAGTTCCAGGATTTTAATAAATATTGACCTATAACGTAAATTCTTTCAAGTAAAAAATTATTAAAAAATTAGAAATAAAAATTTTGCATTTGTATAGGCAAAATAAAATTTTAATAACGTTTTAATAATGAATTAAAATGTTTCACAACTTAAATTAACTTTTAAAATGGCACCGCATCACTTACTGTTTATTGTCGAAAGTGAATCAAGCTACTCCGATATTTTGTATTAATTATTTAACGGCGAAATTTTGTGTTTTTGACTGGCAGGTAATTTTTATAATTAATTTTTTTATTAAAAACTTGAAAACTGTTAATTTAAAACCGAAATTCGGCGTCTAAACTATCCCGGAAGTTATGGCTGCGACACAACAGGAAGAGCACCGTTTTCATGTTTCATAATAAATTTCGACAGGATGTTTACAATCGTAACTTCCTGTGTCTCTTCTCATCTCGTTAAATTAATTTCAAAAATTAAATTCTTTCTCTAATTCTCAATTTCCACCTTACCGCTTTTCACATACAAAACTCGGAACCGATTAGTCAATTAAAATCCAAGATGGCCACTGCCAAATCAATGGTGCCACAGTTGATTGGCTAAACTAAACTAAACTAATCAATTAAATTATTAACTATTTTAAATTATAATAAAACTTTATTTACACTTAGATTTATTTGGTTTTAAATATAAAAAATAACTTTTCAATTTAGAAATTTGAGGCATTTAGTTTCAGTTTTAAATATTTTTAAGACAAGTTAATTAAAATATAAGATTATTAAAAGCAGTTTTGAGTTTTATTTTTTAAAATGGTTTATTAAATATTGTAAATTATAATTATCAATTAAACTTTATAAATAAAATAAATCAAAAAAGCACATAAAACCTTTTAAATTCAGATTTTAAATAATAAAATAATTTTGTATTATAAATTATGTATTGTTAATTATTTATAAATCACTTTTAAAATTTAAAAAGGTATTGCACATTGTAAGATGCTCAAGAGATGTGTTGAGTCAATTGGTAGCCAGTGTGACAAGAGAATTAAACTTACCAATGGGAGGTAGTTTACAAGTTAAAAATGTTTTCCATTCTGATTTGGTACTTGTTTGTTTATTTATAAAATTTATATTCTAAAAAGTTTTAAAAAAAAATTCTAAAAAAAAATTCAGTTTGAAAATAGATTGAATAATCATTCTTGCTTGACTACAACCCAAGCAGCCTGGACAGAGCAGTAGTAGTTGATGACAACCATTTCAACAATTTTGTCGAATGTTATGTGAATTCATTTGATTTTACTTCCTCAAAGAGTGACGAAGATGTAACTGTCGTCATCAACTCCATTTCCAACGGCACTAATGCCAAAAAATCATTCCCCACGAGTGAAGAACTTGCGGTTGAGTTGAACTGTGAAACTGTCGAAATGATCGACAGTGATGACATGAACATCGATAACTCATTCATCATAGTTAAAAGTTCTGACCACCATGGGGTTCTAGATGGTTCCCTCAACATTAACAATAGTGATGATGGTGTCGGTAGCTTTTCTGGCAACAATGATGCTTACCATGATGAAGAGGTAGCTTATGGTTGTGGTTACTGTTGGGTTTTTATCATATATTGTTGGGGTATTTGAGTTAGGCTGGGTATTTACCTTGTATTGTTGTGGTCGCTGTAAGGTGTTTGGTAGTCACTGACCTCGTATTGATGTGGCATTAGTTTGGTATTGATTTCGTATTTCAATTACATTTTTTAGGTGCATCTGAATGGAGATTTCAATGAGAAACAAAATCTCGCAAATACCTTGCTCTCCAACTTTGTGTCGGCCAGTAACAACGAAGTTCTAGACTTCCTGACAGCTGGCAATGTTGTGTTCTCCACTAATGGAGAGATCAAGGTAGTAGAGAGGTCAAGGTCATTGTTGCTTAATGGTGACTGCTCATTATGTGGTTTATTAGAGGATTGAATCAATTGCAACAATTTCTAGGTGGAGATTCCCGACATGGTTGATGGTTTTCCAGACGACGGTTGTTTCGTGAAGGGATCGACGTCAGATGACATCAACGGCATGAACGCTGCATCCTCAGCGGCAACAACAACTTCCTCGTTGACCTTATCAACGGCTGCCATAGTTAACAATTCATCACTGACATTAAACAGTAGCGATGTCGACGTGGATGTCTGCAACGACGATGACCACCTCATTGTCCAGTGTATGGACATCACTGAGCCGCTGAGTACTCTGAGGAGGCTTCTGGAAGAGAGATTTGTTGCCGATTACTCTGCCTACGAGCTCTGGCTGCAGGATTCAGTACAGGTTTTTGTATCTTTCTTTTTGTGTTTTGTTTTCTGTATTGTATAAGTTTTGTTTATTTGTTTGTCTGTTTGTATGCTTGCTTTGTATTTACATGTGTATATATATATATATATATATATATATATATGTGTGTGTGTGTGTGTGTGTGTGTGTGTGTGTGTGTGTGTGTGTGTGTGTGTGTGTGTGTGTGTGTGTGCGTGCGTGCGTGTGATTGAATGATTGATAAAATGATTGAAACAGTTGGACCCGAGCAAGAACTTAGTTAGTCAGTGTCTTGAAGGTACTGGAACTGTTCAGATCAATGTGGAATTCAAGGTTGGCTAGTTGATAAGTTCGTTGACTGACATGATTGATTGATTGGTTGGCTGATTGATTGGTTGGCTGATTGATTGATTGATTGATTGATTGATTGATTGATTGATTGATTGATTGATTGATTGATTGATTGATTGATTGATTGATTGAATGACACTAGCAGGTTGATGACAGTCCAAGGATAAACATCCTAGACGTCTTGAAGCCGGTCGAAGATGACGATGAAGATGACGTCGAGGAAGATGACAATGACGGCGGCAGTGTTGATAGTAGTGGCATTACTACCATTGATTTGAGTTAGTGCTACTATTCCTCTTACTACCTCTTAATACCACTTATACTGCTTCTACTACTAGTACCATTTGCATGGATTAGTACTGTTACTATTTTATTGTAGTACTTCAACTGCTACTGCCACTGATTGTGATAATTTTGAATGCAATAATGCTATTTTAAAATAAATTCGCCTGATTGAATTTTACTCTTTTCATAAGATGGGTTCCTGTCGAACGACGACAACAACAACAACAACAATAACGCCGGCGGCATCAACAACAACACGTGTGCATCTGCAGCTTCTATGACGTCATATTCGCTAATGACATCTGACGACAACAACAACAACAGCGTCGACGATGATGGCTGTGATGATGGTATTGGGGCTGGCATCATGGAGAACATGACCAGTGTCACAAAGTGGATTGTCGATCCGTGGTTCTGTAACGAACAGATCAAGCATAAGATTCCAAAGGGTTGGTTGGTTGGTTGATTGATTGATTGGTTGATTGATTGGCTGGCTTGGTTAACTTTTTATTCACTCTAATCATAGACCCAGCAGAATGGTCGACAGCCCATATAAAACACTGGCTTCGATGGGCAATACGACGATTCAAGTTAAAAAGTGTAGCAACGCTAATTGTCGAGAATATGTCCGGGGCCCAGTTAGTGAATTTGAGTCACTCCGACTTCACTAAGATCTTCCCCAACGACGTGGGTGACGTTTTCTGGACTCACCTTGAACTTCTCAGAAGATGCAAATTTGTCGGTGAGCTAATGTCATTAAATTTTTTTTCATTTTGTTTGTGTGTGTGTGTGTCTGGGTGTGTGTGTGTGTGTGCAATAACACTTTTCAAGTAATTATAAACAGCAATGTAACAATTCCATTCACATATTATGTTATAAAAGTTACATTTAACAGCATTGAAACTACGATGCGTGCACACACACACACACACACGCGCGCACGCACAATTATAGCTGTGATGCAGAGCCCAACTGCAAATGATGAAAGTAACTACCACAGCAACATCAACAGCAGCAGCATCACGTCGTCATCCTCCTCCTCCTCCTCGCTCTCCTCTGCATCCAAACATCTCACATTAAACCACAGAGGGAGGGGTCAACATAGAATGAGTTCAAAGGTCAAGGTGTCTATTAATCCTCTCGATAAGCAGATACCTGGGAATAGATTCGGTAGATTTGTTTGTGTGATTGGTTGATTGATTGATTGATTGATTGATTGATTGATTGATTGATTGATTGATTGATTGATTGATTGATTGATTGATTGATTGATTGATTGATCAGGTAACAACGGCCAGATCCAGTTATGGCAGTTTCTGTTGGAGTTACTAACGGACAAGAGCTACAGAGAAGTTATACAATGGGCTGGTAAGAGAAAGAAATATTTAAACAAATTATAAACAATTATAAATAAAATAATAATTTTAATTGTAAAATAAAATTTATGAATAAAAAGTACAATTAAAATATGAAGAAAGCAAATGTAATTTATAGTATATATTTATATATATATATGCATTAAATATAATTAAAGTTTTCAAAAAACTTGAATGAAAGTAAGACAAACTTTAAATATTTTAGGAGATGACGGTGAATTCAGACTGATCAACCCTGAGTACGTGGCTCAGTTATGGGGACAGCGAAAGAGCAAGGCAAATATGAATTACGAGAAACTATCAAGGGCCCTTAGATACTATTACGACGGAGATATGATAGCAAAGGTAGGCGCGGTCATATAGTTATAAGTGGGTTAATCACTCACTTATTCACCCAATCAGTCACTCAATTAACTAGTTAATCATTAGATTAATCAATTTTTTAATTACTCAATTGGTCAATTAACCACTAAATCACAATTCATCAGACATTGTATATGTGTGTGTGTGTGTTGAATACATGGATGCGCATAGATACAAAGGTACTGGCATAAATACTTTATACACACTTATACTGAGATATACACATATACATACATACATACATAACTTGAATACATAGATACAAACAAACAAACAAACACACCTACATACAAACTTGCAGGTACACGGCAAGAGATTTGTGTACAAATTCGTATGCGATCTCAAGACCTTGCTTGGTTATTCAGCTTTGGAATTAAATCAACTTGTCCTAGAATGTGCCAACAATAGTCTCAACATCAACAACAACACAGATGATAACACTAACAACAACAACATCAGTATCAGTAACAACGACGACGACTACACTAAAATTACTGCCATTACTAACAACAGTAACAATGGTAGTAGTAAATGTAATAGTAGTAGCAATAGGAACAATTCTAATGTAGTGTTGAGCGTAAAGAAGAAAAATTTAATTGCTATGCCTATTAAATTTTCTTGATATATTTTGTATGTATGTATGTATGTGTTTCCAGGTGTGTGTATGTGCGTATGCTGGCGTATGTATGTGTGTGTGTTTGCGTTTTTCAGTTTTGTTTCTGTTTCATTACCTTTATGACATTTTTGTTTATAAATTGTACAGATAATGATGATGATGAACAGCATTCATCCTGTTGTGTTTCGTGTTTTCTTCAAAAAGACATTCGCACGTTTCTTTGTTACATTTTCTTAAGCCATCGTTAACCAACTACTGTTACTGACCGTTATTACTTTTGTTATTAAAATTACTAATGTTAATACTACTACTACTACTGTACACTTTAATTATTACAATTGGTAATGTTTGGTTTTGTTCGTTTGTATCAATCTATTGCTTTTTTTTAATTCGTATATATATCTGTATGAAAATAGTTCTATTAAGTTTGTATTTAACAAAATGACTGCACTAAATTTATTTATTTGTGTGCGTACGGATGTAGGTATGTTTGTAAATGAATGTTTGTATGTATTGTTGTATATGTATATATTTTGTATTCGCATGTACGTTTATGGATCATGGTATTTATTTTTATTATGTGCCTTATAATTGTGAATCCGAATGCTATAATTTTTTGTAATTCGTGAGATATGATTGTAATTGTCGTCATTTCTTCCTCTCCCTCCTTTGTTGTGTTGTTGTCTTCTTCTCAATTAAAATAAAAACATTAATAAAATTACGATAAAATAGTGAAATCGATTTTAAAGTTCGAAAACCTTTAGATATTTACATAAGACTTGTGCATGTGTATCATTGATACGGTATCAAGACTTGTACAGGTTTATCAATGATACGATACCAATTCAAATTCAGGCGACTAGCACTAACGAAAATAAATACGACATTGACTCTACACCCAGGCTGGGAAGATGCACCTCAATTCAAGGAAGTCAGCGCTGTCGTAAACTCGTATTGTACTGTACATTTATTATAAATACATTTTTATTTTGCTACGTTTGACTCAAAATTCAATGAAAATCATTCAGTTCTACTTCTTTCTCTATTGAAACAAATGTTACGTACAAGCCTTCGTCTTCATTGATCATGAATTATTATTAGTAATATATCTTTCTATTAACATTTCGCCTAAAACTACATATTATTATGTGTAAACTCTAAAATTTAAATTAACAAACAAACTTAGCAGTTCTTCCTTTCAATGTTAACAAACCATGTGATTAGAGAAAAGAACAGAAGAAGAACAAACATCAACGAAACTGAAGCTATGGAGAATGATGATTAACAACTACCAATTGTGTACAATTTTGAATTGAAGATCACGTAAGCAAATGTAGGTATTAAATACTACTTTAAATTTAACCAATAATAATTAATTAATTGATTGATTGATAACACACACTATGAGAACATTTCATCAATGATAACAAAATTAAATTAAACTTTTTGCTTACTTAAGAAAAAAAACATGAAAATTTTTTGGGCTGAAAATGAAAAAAAATCACAAAAAATCAAAAGACAGAGCAAAACAAAACGTGTAAAAGTAACAAAAGATTCATCTTAACTAATATTTTTCATAGATAATCATGTATAATGTCTAAACATTTGTTATATACATACACATACATATACATACAATTTCTACTAAAACAATCAGAAAGTTCCTCCCCAACATTTTTTTTAGTAAAAAAGGACCCCTCAAAAAAATGTATCACTCTCTCTCTCCTGGGGATTATTTTATTCTTTCATTTCGTTCCTTCCTTCCACTAATCTACCAGTAGGCAATTGATGCCAGGAGAGCAGAGATTAAAATGGAGGAGGTCATGATGATGGCTCCTGACTTGTACTGGGTCTTCAGCTCGAACCCGTGTCCTGCATCCCAGGTCTGTGATTGGTCGTTTGGTTAATTAGGGTTAGTTAGTATGCTAGTTAGTGGATAGATAGATGGTGTAGATTAATGTGTAAATGAATGTGTATGAGAGAAAGATAAGATTATGGAGATAGTAGAGTATAAATAGAATTTATTTACAAATTCTGATCATTGGTTACATACACATACTTTCCTAAAAAAATTGACATAAAATTGGAAAAAATTAACAAAACCACCACCATAACTGCTACTTACCAGATGTCTGATACCATTGATGTAATGGTAGACAAGAGGGAATGCCACTATGGTTTTGGCTGGGAACAGGAAAAGTTGAGGAAGCTGGAGATTCTTCACAAACTCCACGTAACTTGGGAAATCGCCCGGAGCCAGAAACACTCCAATCGAAAAAGCGTAGAAAACTGTAGAGATTGAAAAACAAATCTATAATAAATAGAATAAATTTATGAAAATATGCCAAAATGAAAAATAATAAAAACTTATTATGAATTAAAGATAAAATGATAAAATTAAAATGCAAAAAGATAATAGATAAACCGACCAACACCCATAGCAATGCCAGTCACACGATGGCAGAAGGATGTAATCATCGGGAGATGGGGTCTAAAATTTTAAAATTAATTTTAAAAATATTTTAAAAAATATTTTTATTGTTTTTTTCACAAGATTATATAAGAGAAAGAAACCAAAAAAAATGTTTAAAAACAAGTAGCAGGAAAAATTAACATAATTTATTCATTTATTTATTTATATTACCTATAAATGACCCATGGAGAATTTGGCCTACCAAGTGCTAAGTTCTTATCCCAAAATCTTTGCATTTCATTGAAAGCTGACTTGGTAGTGTTGTTGGATGGTGGGGGAATTTTGGTTGCCCTAATTAGACAAAAAAAGATTATTCACTAACATATTTAAAAATGAAAAAGCCTAAAATATCTTTAATTTAATGAACAAATGAGAAATGACAATCTCATGAATCTTATCTTAGTTAATTTATTATTTCAATCTCTGATTTATTTTTATAATTCCAATCTTCATTTAAATAAATTAAAAATTAAAATTAATTAACAAACCAATGAAAATGAGATTCTAAAACTAAAAAAGAGAAAACTTTATTTTTACTAACATAGTTGCCACAATGTACGACTGGCGAATGAACAGACCATTGTTGAAGAGAGAAAGTCTACAAATTTGAACAAATTTGTATGATTTGTGAATTAATAAGTTAGTGAAGCTGTTAAGTTTTAATTTAAAAGTTAAGTTTAAAAATTTTTTTTAATTTTCAAAGAGTGACATTCTGAAAGGTTACGGATTGTTGCACACTTATAAATATGAAAAAACCGGTAAAAAATTGAATTTCTATAAAATAAAAGTTTAATTATTTTAATGTTTGACTTTAAAATAGCATAAAATATAGAAATAATTAGAAAATTTGATCCTACCTCAAAGTAGACAACGCCATTGCTATAACCTTGAGGTTCGACTAATACACAGCTGTAACGACTGTTAAATTTATCCACAGCTATATTATTAATAGAAGATATAACAAAAAACTATTTTATAACTTTTACTAACATTACTAAAATATATATTTCATATTAATTCATTTTTAATACAAATTTGTATTTAATAATTTACATCTAGTTTTTTTAAATGTTAAAAACTGTCAATTTATATTCGCTTTTTTGACATCATAATAGAAAACATACAACTCTAAAGATGACGGAGAAAACAACATCCCAGTCAGTTCTTATTCTTATTAATTCCTAATTGGTATTACAAAATAACTTAATTTTTATTTAAAATAATGAAATACACTTTAATTTTCACTAATTTAGCAAGCAAAAGCATTATTATTGGTTCACTGATAGCATTCAGAAGGAGAATGTCGAATCAAACTACTGGTTCCTGGCTGAAGTTGGCAGGTCTGAGTCGAGTTTACGACAGAATTAATTGATAAATTCGTTAAATTAGTGAAATAAAATTGATCAATTAACATCCAATTACCAATTTTATAAATATATAACTTCAAAATGTTGAAAAATGTTATGAATTTGATGCTTTTTTAATATAAATTCCTTTCTTTCACAGTAACCTAATGTGCTTCTACCGTCAGCATTTCTTCCGAACATTCCACTGCATGGAGAAATCAACCGAGAGGATTTTCTACATCAAAGTCATCATCAAAATTGTACGGTCTTTCTGGAGTGGATGAATGAAGGAATGAATGAATGAACAAATGAATGAAGGAATAAACGAAAGAACGAATGAAGAACGAACGAACAAACAAATGATATAACTCGGATTGAATGAGTTCCTCCTACTAACTTCAGGTTTTAAATCCGAGAAAGAAGAGAAATTTGTCGAGATTCCTAACTCTTACTCATCCTAATTTGGTAAAAGTAATTCTAGCCTTCTCTCTCTTCCACTCTCTCTCTCTCCCTTTTTTTCTCTTTTCTTTCCTTTTCTCTCTCTGCACTTTCACTTTTTTACCTAATTACCAATAAAATGATTTTAAAATGAAGATAAAGATCAAAGAGATTTACGAAACGAACGAGGCATTGTTCGTTGTAACTGACCCGTACTACATGGGTGTATTGAACTGGTTATTATTGTTATTATTTTATTATTGTTGTTTCATAATTTTCTCTCTTCCTTTTCTCTCTCTCTCTCTCTCTCTCTCTCTCTCTTTCTTTCTCTCAATTAATTAGATTAATTAGATTATTAAGATTAATTGACGCAATGATTAGATGATTGCGTTCATTAATGTTTAAAAATAATTGGTACCGAACAATATTAATAAATAACAATAATAGTAATTAATAACAACAATAATAATAACAACAAATAATAATAATAATTAATAATAATAATTTTCATTTAGTTTCATTGACATGAAATCATATAGTGAGAGAGACGTTTCGAAGATGATTAAAAGTGTATTGGAAGCCTTAGCTGTCAGTTTTACGTTATCATCATCACCACCACCATCATCACATCATCATCATCATCATAGCATCAGCGTCATAATCATCAATACTATCATAACGTTCATTATCATTCTTAACATTATTACAATCGTCGTCGTCGTCATCATCTTCATCATCGTTATTGTTATTTTTCTTCTTCTTCTTTTTCTTTTTCTTTTTCTTCTTTTTCTTCTTTTTCTTCTGCTTCTTCTTCTTCTTCTTTTTCTTTTTCTTAATCTTCTTTTTCTTCTTCTTCTTCTTCTTCTTCTTATTCGTCTTCTTCTTCTTTTTATTATTATTATTATTATATCATTAATATTCGCGACAGTACCTCCACAGCAAGAAAATATTCCACAGATGCGTGAACGTACGTCAGCTGTAATAAATTAAAAAAAAACAAAACAATATTAATATTAATAATTAATACTAAAATAAAAATTATTATTATTATTATTTGTTATTGCTATTATTATTATTATCTCGACCCCAGCCAGACAACATCGTATGTATTATGGAGAACGGGAATCTAGTTTACAAGCTCGGTAGAGAGAATTATTTATAAAATTATTAATAATAATAACATATTAAAAAAATAATGTTAATAATAATAAATGCAAATATAGATAATAATGATAATTATAATAATTTATTCCTCAGATAATAGTTATATGGGTAGTTTGGTTACCGACGAAGTTCACGCCTCCTTACTTTCTGCTAACTTGGCTTTTACTGGTTATAATTAATTTAATGGCTAATTAAACTTTTAGTTGGCGAGAGGAATTAATTAGTTTTTTAATTGATTGATTGATTGGTTAATTAATAAATTAATTAGCTCCTGAAATTTTACGAAGCACAAAAGTTGATTTCAGCGCCGATCTGTGGTCGGTAGGATTGGTGACTTATTTCTTGTAAGTATGATTTCTTTTGGTTTTGGTAGTTTGTCTTTATTCAATAAGTTAGTTAATTAATTAATTCATTTATTTACTCTTTCATTCATTCGTTCGTTCATTCATTCATCCATTCGCTCATCCATCTATCATTGATGCAGCTTATCTGGAAGCATTCCGTTCTTCGACCACAGTTGTAAAGGCTCTTTCACGAAACTCTTCAGAGCCAAACTGAACTATGATGACGTCAAGAACATCAACTTCACCACCAAAGTTTGACGTCACAATTTTAATGTCACGTCGATGGTGATGGTGATGTATGGAATGGTGGGTGGCGGCTAACACGGTTGTGGTAATTTGATGATGGGGACGATGATGATGAAGACGATTATGACGAAGATTGCGATTAGGCCAAAAAACAGAACAATAAAGTTTTCGTGAATTCAAGATGGTTTAAAGATAAAGCGACACTTCTATTACATTCCATTTTTATTGCATGCATGCATGCATGCATGCATCCATCGATCATTCATTCTGTCAATCAATCAATCATTCATTCATTCACTCATTCATCCCTCAATCGTTCATTTTTTCATCCTCCCATCTATCCATTCATTCATTCAAAATGGCTTCCATGCAGGACTTTTTAGAGCACCTAGTCAATCTGGACGGGGCTAAGCGGATGACGGCTCTGGAAGCACTGAGCCACCCTTGGGTCTACGGGGGTCTGAACAGCGTTAAACCTCTGCAAGGCCTTTGCGAGAAACTAGAGAAGTATAAAAAATTGAAAATGATAAGGGTATGTTTTTGTCATTTATGCGCAAGTTTGATATGAAAAAAATTAAAAATCTCATTAAAAATGACCTCGTGTAGAATAAGATGGACGTGGTGAACAGTTCAACATACGACGCCATCTTCGCTAAATACCATGAGGACAGTAAGGAGTTTATATCATCTCCGATCTCCTGCATTGAGCCACTGAGAAGGCCGAAAGTAGCGAGATCCGTTATTGTCACGGCAGAATCGGATTTCTACTATCGGTTCGGTGTCCAGGCAAACCGCCCGCCGACCACTTACGATTACAACTCGTCGAGTGTCTGCCGCGTGCTACGCGCCATGTACAAAACTCCAGAGGTCACTGTTTACGAAGATGCCGTCAGGTACGACTGCATCGCTGCGCTGCGACTCACATTTCATTGAAGCACTAGTCTAGAAATAATCTCAAAACTTTTTTTGCCCTCCAGATGTCAGACGCACTACAGCAGCGTGTTCATGTACAACGAGTACATACCATCTCTGTGGAAACTTCTGAACATCCCAATCGTTGCTGACTATGAGGAATGGAGGAACAGGATAATGGCGGCCCTGCTGGCCATCAAGCAAGCCAGGGAAGCCAAGAAGGAAAAGGAACGTGCGCTCCTATTGGCTGCTGAGATGGCGGAAGAGGAAAAAGAAAATGGCGAAGAGGATGAGGATGAAGATTATAAATACAACGAGAGTGAGGTTTTTTCTGGAATCAGTGATCAGTCGACTGGTACGATGCTTGCGGAACCCTACCAATCTTCCAGGTCGTCTTCCAAAGATTCGAACCCCTTTTCAGAGTTGGATAAAAACGTTGAAGAAAGTTTAATATACAGCATGTGGCCGTCGCATCTCAAGTACAGCAACTACACTGATCACGAGGAAAAAGTTGACTTGACGATTCCACCAATTTTTACGGAGGAAGATTTGGAATCGGCAGAGGTGCGTCTTGAAGATCTATACATCAACAAACGATTGAGCGAGTTCGAACCGGACGTTCAAATGATCGGCGAGTTACTCGTCGCTAAGCCGAAGAAAAAGTTTCAGAAGAGAAAAAGCACTTTTGATTTCATGCTGATGGTCGACCACCCTGAATACTTCCAACGGCTCTACACCCCTCAACAATTTACTAACGCTGTCATCAAGGAGTTGGTGCAAACCTGTCAATGTCTTTACGATCTCTATCGCTACCGGCCACCATTCCATCCTACCCAGCTGGGAGTGGATCAGTTCACTATTGAACAGCAAGGAAGACCCGGGGAGTACCTTCCCAATGTTGAGGATTATGATCCGGAACATGCTAACGATCAGTTAGTTTTATGAATTTGTTGAATTTTTAGTTTAAACTATTAAATTCGTTGCAATTTTTAATTTTTACGGTGTAAAATTGAATAAATATTAAATTAAAAAAATACAAAGGAATTAATTAATAGATTGAAATTGACATGAATTGAATTGCTACAAACCTTTCAAACAACGACGCCAACAGGCATTACATGCTGTGCCGAGGCGGAGTGTCAATCAAAAAAGAGACTCCGCCCTGGTTGTTGGACGTGGAAAATCAAGTCCCATACCTTATCCCAATCACAAAATTTAACTCCATAATAAAGAACGGGATTCCAGTACCAGACACCTGCATACAGACACCACCGGAACCTCTTCCCATGACGGAATTCACAGTTTACAGTCTGTTAGAAGATCCCATGTTTTCCAGATTTAACTCATTTCCGAATTCCCGACCTCCTGAGATTTTGACAGCCACTTATTACGTTCCTTTCAATATAAATCCTCGTCATTATCGCGATTGTCACTGTCCGAAAGAAGAGAACCTGGCAAAGAAATGTCCTTACAAGAAGATGGTGATAGAAAGGATGGATATAATTAAAAGAACTCTGCGCACCGCCGACATAAAAAATAAAAATTCTGCAGGCTTCCTTAGAAAATTGACGGCAACGACGATGAATCTAACGGGGTTGGATGAGTTGAAATTGAGGCAGGCTGCCGAAGGGATCGACGACGATGCGGATGAATTTGTGAATGCTGGCGACATGGAAAGTGATGGAGGTGAGAAGTGTCGAATGATTCTCGGCTGGTTGAATAATTTAGAAGGAGAGGAGATTGCCAAGACCAGAAATGAAGAGTTGGACGACGATTGCATCCACCTAACTGGCAGACCCTGTCTCATGGACATGTTCGATTCGGTCGGGAGGTTCTGCGCTCTGAGCAAGCGAGGAAGCACGAGGCTCTGCTGTCAGAACCTCTACGCCATTTGGAGGAAGATGGATCGAGATGAAGAAAAAACAGCCGCCTCTGCAACTCTTCCCTTCGCGAAAGTTGATTACATCCCAAATTTGACGTTGGATAAGTTAGAAGCTAAAAATAAATTTGCCAAACAAAATTTATCAGTTGGTCAGTTGGTGGTCAACATAACGGAAAAACCGGATCTTCGTTCTCGCTTCAAAAACGCTAGCGTTGGAAAGCTAACAGAAGAGAAGAAGGAAGATGACGTAAGCGTGAAACACAGCCTACCGGTCACGATTGAAAATGAACTTCAGAAGAAACTGCAGCTGCTGAAGGAATTGAAATGGCTGAAAAATGAGCACCTCCAAGAACATCCGCAGTCTCAACAGTGCCAGAATTTTAATTGGACCAATTTTGTTTACCCCGAAGAAAAGGGTGAGCCCTTGGTTTGGTCTTTCGAGGTCTTCATGTAGGTGATGTGGTTTTGTTTTTTATAGAAAGTGGACTTAAAAATATTTTTGTAGGTTTTATAGTTTGAAAAGTTATTTTTTTTAAAAACAAGTGTTACCGTTTTAATAGTTAAGTACTTGTTATGTTCGTTAAGAAATGAGGTTTAATAATAATTTTTCGTCTCTTTTTTATTTCAAAATCATTCGATATAATGTGAACGAAAGGACTGAATAACTTGACAGTAGCCATAAAATGCCTTTGTGAAAGATTGATAGATAGACGCGAAGGTAATGACGTAGACACGCACACACATATACACCACACACGCACAAACACACACACACACTCACATATTGTATATGATACACGGTAACATACTAATTTTAAACAGAAACGAACGACTCAATGAATAAAATTAACAGAGAGAAAAAAAGGAACCGAAGCTTGTAGAACGTTGAAGTTTGATAGGAAAACTGAAAATAATTAGAAAAAATATACGTATTTGTGTGTGTGTGTTTGTTTGTTTGTTTGTGTGTATGTTTGTTTGAGTGTGTGTGTGTATGTGTGGCTGTATGTGTGTAAAAAAAAGCCTGAAAAAGCGTTTTACATAAATTGCAATGGTTTTTACAGCAGTATGGTATATGTGTGGGAAGAATATAGTGTTTTAATACTGATAGCCAAATGCTAGTTGACAAAGATAAAATTAAATGCGGTAAAATGCTGAAAAGTATAATAGTATGTGTGTGTATATATGTGTGTGTGTGTGTGTGTGTAAGGGCATGTACGTGTGTGTATGTATTTGAGTGTAGGTGTGTGTGTATGTGTTTGTGGGCGTGTATGTGTGTGTGTAGGTGTCAGTGAGAGTCTGTAGATAATATAAAATAGAAAATGTTAAAATATTGCAAATGATTCATTACCAGACGGTAAAACAATACCACCAGATAAATAACTAATAATACTGAATGATGTCTCCAAAAAAGAAAGCTATAGAAATAAAAATGAAAAAAATACTAAAATACTAAAAAAGATAATACTAGATGGATGTCATATAAAGCAATAAAAACGTTCTGAAAACATGCAAAATACCTATATAGTAAAAGTTCTCACAAGTGAAAGTTTCGACCGTTTGATTAATCATTAAGTTTTTTTTTTATCAAAGTAAACATAAATAATAATTAATTAATTGATAGATTAATTAATCAATTAATTAATTAACTAATTATTAAATATATATATATGTGTATATATATAATTTCTATTTATAGTAACTACTACTAAAAATAGTAACGGGTTTGATAATAATATTAATAATAATAAGGCTTGTAAAATATTTCATATGCTAAAATCGCGCACATACATACACACACACATACACACACATGCGCGCGCATACACGCATATACACATAAATACACAAACAAACATACACAGAGATATTTATACATGCATACATACATATGTCTATAACATTGAATAACATAAACTATGTATAAACTAAAGATATACAAATAGAAAATATACTAAAATTAACTAAAAAATTTACGCTAACACATTAATAATAAATTTATATACACATATACTGAAAATACTACCCATATAATACTATATATACAATACTAACAATATATCATGATATAGGTCAATTAAATGTTATCAAATGAATAAATGATTGAACAAGTAAATGAATGAATGGATGAACGATTACTCAATGAAACAAACATATAATTGGTTGAAAAAAAAAACTAAAAAAAAAATAAATAGATGAACACAAACAATAAAGATGGATAAACTAAAAAAACACTATATAAAGCTATACATACTGTGAAATATGAACCAGATGTGAAAGTGATGTCTCCAGAAATAAGTTATATATCATAGGCACACGCAATAATGATTCGATTATAATTATTATTATTATTATTACTGTAATATAATTGTCCGTGTGAAAGTGTTTATTAATACTGTAATATAATTGTCCGTGTGAAAGTGTAACCAGGAAATTTCATATATAAATATATATATATATATATATATATATATATATATATATATATATATCTGTGTGTGTGTGTGTGTGTGTGTGTGTGTGTGTGTGTGTGTGTGTGTGTGTGTGTGTGGTAGACAGTTGCCCGCCATAAGCCAGGCGTAAATTTCGTCTCTCATGAGACTCGCCAGTAGCCTGCCTGCCGAATAAGGTTCATGATAGCACAACTCGATTATTGTAACCGAGAAACGCAAACTGAGGTGTCGCGATACTTGTTTTAAAATTAGAAAAAAAAATAAAAAGAAAAAGCAATAAAGATAATAAATAAATAAAAGATATATATTGCTTGAAACGTGGGTTTTCAAATTTGAGAAAAAATTCATTGTTATTTACAATTTTACGATTTTAACTGTTAGTATTGTTGTCGTTATTATTACTATCATGTATTATTATGATTGTTAATGTTGTTGTTGTTGTTTACATTGATGCAATAGTCGCTGTTGTAGTTATTGTGGCTGTTCTAGATGATGTTGTCGTTGTTGTGACTATAGCCGCTGCTCTTGCTGCTTCTGCTGTTGCGGTGGGAGTAATGGCAAATCCCAGTCTACCTCCTGACCACACTTTTTTTATGGGTACTCAAAGTACCAGAGTTGCCATACTTAGCCCCGCATTGTTTGCAAATGAAGGGCTTCGAACCCGTGTGGATGTTGATGTGGGTTTTTAGGTGGTGGCTCTTTATGAACTTTTTACCGCATGTAGGGCAGGCATAAATTCGGTGGTGCTGCTTGTTGTGGCCCGTCAGGGCTGTCGCGGTGTCAAAGGTCAAGTCGCATGGTCTGCAGTGGTAGGATTTTTTTGACCGTTGTTGTCGGGGTTGTTGTAGACGCTGTTGCTGATGGTTTTGTTGATGTGAATGTTGATATCGTCGATGAAAATTTTGTGGTAGCTGTTGTTGCGGCTGCTGTAGCTGCCGTTGTCGTTGTTGTAGTTGCCACTGCTGCTCTTGCTGATGATGAATTGTTCGAAATCTTTCATTTTGTTCTGTTATTTTTGAAAAATTAAGATAAAATTAATTTCATGACGAATGTTTCGAGACCACTAATTAATAATATCGGATCTTAAAAACTTACGTAACTCATAATAATTTAAACAGAAAATAATTAATAACAATAGTAATTATAGTAATAATTATTCTTATCAACATAATTATTTATCAAAATTATTATTTTTGTAAAAAAAATTTCTTTACATTCATCGGAGAGAGCGCTTAACTAATTTTCAAAAAACGAAATAATTAAAAAACACTTAAAGCATTAGCTAAGTTTAATTAATAACTTAATTAATCAATCACTAATTAATCAATCAATAAAATAACCATTTAATTATGATAATTAATTAGCTGATTATTATTCAATCAATTATTTTGTCGAGACTTTTTCCATCGAGAGATGATGAAGATTTTTGAAGTGAACTTCTGGAGTCGTTTGATCGCCAGAATGTTTCTGACAATCTCAACGTTGATTTAGCGGTGAATTCTTTGAGTTTTTTTTAAATATTTTTCTTCATCAATTCTTATCTTTTCTGCAGCTTTTAAATAAAACTTTGATATAGCCGGGGTAGTAGCAGAAGCAGCAGCAGTAGTAATAGTAGTGGCAGTAGCGATACCATAATTATTTAATTATAAGCGTTAGTAATAGAGATAGAGATAATATTAGCATTAAAATTGTTGTTACTCGTTGAATCAGTTGTTGGTTTTGATGTTGATGGATGGTAGCGACTGTAGCTGATGTCAGCTGCTTCTGTTGCTACTGTTGCTGCTATTGTTGTTGTTGTCGACTTACATCGCGATCCTACTTTTTTAAACTAAAGAATTATTATTTGTTTTTATTATTTTTCATCGTTCATGTTTATTAATTATAGTCTTTTGATGTTAAATTTAATTAAAAAAGTTTAATTTATTCGTTATTGTAAATTTATTTTATGGCGGGGGCCTATGGTGAAAGTTATTACCCCCCCCCCCCCCCTGCATCTATAATTTGCGGATACTCCGGGGTCAGATTAAAACAGGGCAGTTGTAATCTTGGTAGGAACTGTTGCTCACTTTTTTGAGATCCGCAACTTCGTCGTCGTCGTCGTTGCTGTTATGAACGCGTTTTCTGTTGTTGTTGTTGTTATTATTGTTATTATTATTGTTATTGTTGTTGTTGTTGTTATCATCGTCATGGTTTGACTCAACGAGCTTAGAAGGCTGACTTAGTGCTGGACAAGTTTTCAGTCTGTGTGCATTCGACAGGCTGTTGTTGTTGTTATTATCATTATCATTATTATTATTGATGAAGGTTTGATAAGGCGGATAGCTTGGAAGAGATAGGAAATGCTTCTGCTGCTGTTGCTGCTGTTGTAGTTGGAGATGATGATGATGATAGTTGAAGGGATCGTAGAGAGAAAATCTAGGATTGGCGTTGAAATTTGTCGGTAACTCAACTTTAAATGTTGAGAGCTGTCGTTGTTGTTGTTGTTGTTGTTGTTGCTGCTGCTGCTGCTGGCTTGTCTCGTTCATCGCATCTTGTGTCGCCTGCTGCTCTGATTGTGTTGGATGGAGGCTGAGGTTCGTGTCGTCTGTAACTGTAACCGGATCGATGATATCGCTGCTAGTACTCGACAGACTGTTTCGATTAGCAAAATGACTTTCAGGATGATCAGAATTTGATGAAAAGTGATCAGACCTCAGAGGTTTCTGAATAGACAGATCAAGAGCGTCCACATCTTCAGCTGATGACGTCATCGTCAGGTTGATCGGAGTGTTGCTGCAAGCATCGAGAATGTCAGATTTCATTTCTCCGTCGTCATCAACATTGTTGGATGGCGCGTCGTTAAACGATGCAATCAATGGCAGTTTAGGTTGATTTGAGAAATGAGCTTGAAAAATTTCGTCGCAGTTCTCACGCTTAACGTTGAAGTGGTCTTTGAAATGATTGGAATGAGCTGGAGGTAGAAGAGTTGGTGGGAACATTGATGGGTTGAAATGTGAGCAGATATCACCTCCCTCCGATCTGACATTTGGTGGATTTAGAGAAAGAATATTTTGATTGGTGGGCCAGGCGAAAGATGAAGAAGACGACGGGAAAAGATTGGAATTGAAATAACCACCACGTTGTAATTGTTCGGCGAGCTGCAGTCGGTAGGTCAGCTGGTTGAATGGGTGAGGGATGTACTGATTGCGAATTACTATGTCCTGAATGTTGCGAATGTTGTCTTCTGATGATATAGAAGGGCTCATGTGACCAAAGCCAGAGAAGTTAGGTGTTGGGTTATTTTGTTGGCTGTCCAAGTTTGTGGTACGAGGTATGCTGAAAAAATCTTTGATGTAGTTGGGAAGGAAATTATCGAAAGATCGAGGTTGAATGTTTCCAGGTAGCAGCTGTGACTGTTGTGGCTGCTGTGGCTGTCCAGATGTGGAGTAGTTGATGGGAAGATGAGTATGTTCTGGCGAATGTTGAAACTTCTTGAACGATAAACCCTTTTCGTTGTTGTCCCTTTTGTTTCCGTCATCCAGATTAATTGGATCATTGTTGGCAGCGTTGTAACTGTTGTTGACGTCATCGCTGGCATCTTTGTTGAAGCTGCTGTGTTTGCTGCCGTTGATGTTGCTGTCATCTTCGTCGTCGTCGTTGTAGTCATTGTCGGTGTTACTGGCGCCTGCTGGCTGTTTCTTGTGTCTCTTCTCCCTCTGTCTAACGTTTTGAAACCAAATTTTAATCCTTTCGACAGGTGCGCTAATTTTGTCCGCCAGTAAGTGAAGTTCAGTTTTGGTGGGGTGCTGGCTGATGTTCTGGAAGTGGTCTCTCATGATCTGCAGCTGCTCGGAGGTGTACGTTGTTCGCGATCTGCATTGTTTGCTGTTGTTGATGTTGATGTTGTTGTCGTTTGAGTTGTTGTAGTTGTTGCTGTTTTCTTCCTCTTTGACTGGCGTTAGCCTTTTATTTTCGACTGTAGCTGAATCGTTTTCACTTGAGACAGAAATGTTGTTGTTGTTGTTGTTGTTGTTGTTGTTGTTGTTGTTGTTGTTGTAGCTAGTTACCGCCTTGTTTAGTTGCAGAAGACTAAATTGGTTAGAATCTTCATAACTTTCATTTTTCACAAATTGCAGTTGTTGTGGCGGCTTCTGCTGCTGCAGCTGCTGTAGTTGTCCACTGTTACATAACGTTGCTTCTTTGTCGGTATTTGTTGAGGTCTTAGTCGCTAGACCACCGTCGGCGCTTCCAGCGACATCATTTTCATAAATCTCGCTGTCAGTTTCATCATTGTCATTATCTTCGAGTCCGTCATTTTTCTTATCATTGCCATCGTCATCATCTTCGTCGTCATAGTCCATTTGCTGAGGTGTTTTGTTATTGTTATTATTGTTGTTATTATTATTTTTATTGTTATTATTATTGTCGTTGTTGTTGTTGTTGTTGTTATTTCTCTCATCTTCTCCGCTTTTGAGAGTCACCGATGACGTTTCTACATCGTAATTATCGTTACTGGAATGGACCTCTTTGTTGTTGTTGTTGTTATTATTATTGTTGTTAATGACGTCACAGATGTTTTTGTCCGTAGCGTCGTTAAAACTGTAGTTGTTGTTGTTGTTGTTGTTGCTGTTGTTGGTTGCGAAATCGTCATCGTCATCATCGTCGTCATCGTCGTCGTCATCATCATCGTCATCATTACCATGATCAATATTGATGTTTTTGTTATTATTGTAGTTGTTGTTGTTATTATTATTATCATTGTCTGGCGCTGTTGAATCGCAGTTATTGTTATCATCATCATTATCATCGTTATTATTATTGTTATTATTATTATTATTATCATCATCATCATCAATATCATCATCATCATCATCATTATTATTATTATTATTATTATTATTATTATCGCCATTATTACAAATTTGTTTGCAATTATAACTGAGAACGACGTTATTGTATTTGTCAACATTGTTGTTGATGTTTTTGAAACTGTTGATGTTGTTGTTGATGATGTTGTAGTTGTTGTTGTTGTTGATGTTGTAGTTGTTTAGCATCTCTTTCCAATGTTCTATATAAGGCATGAGAGCCTGGTTATTTGGAAACAAGGTGTTACTTGCTGGTAACAGACCGAACATGTTAGACTTGCCGCTGTTGTTGTTGTTGATGACGTCATTTTTTGTTAACGATATAGCGTTGCTGTTGTTCTTGTTGTTGTTGTTTGTGTTGTTGATGTTGTTGACCATGCTGTATTTTTTCTCTGCTTTGCTCGTTTTACCCATTTCATGATTTTGAAATTTGCCGATATATTGAGTATTATTGTTATTGTTATTATTATTGTTGTTGTTAATATTATTATTAAAGCTTTCGTCGTCGGCGGACGTTAAATTGATAGCGACACCGTCGCCACCACCATCGCCACAACCACCACCATCGTCGTCGTCGTCAACTTTCCTACAAGAAACGCTGATGAAGTTACTAATGTTAAGACCATTAACGCTGCTACTGATGTTATTATTATTATTATTGTTATTATTATTATTATTACTGCTAGCATAACTACCGAGATTATTATTCTTGTAGCATTTTTTCGAAGTCGTGTGGCTACTGAAGCTACCGGAATGGCTGAAACGCTTGCCGCAGTTGCGACACTCGAAGGGCTTCTCCCCAGTGTGTATGCGAACGTGTTCCTTCAGGTGGTGCTTGAATTTGAAGGCTTTCTTGCACTCAGGGCATGGGAAACGACGTAATTTCTCGTTGTCGTCGTGACTTAGAGCGTGCCTCTTCAGTCTGTAGACGTTTGTGAATATTTTATCGCAGATTTTGCAGACGTGCTGCGCGTTGTTGTTTGCTGTTGTGGTTGTTGTGGTGTCGTTGTTGGTGGCAGCTGTTGCTGTTGTTGTTGTTGTGGCTGTGGCGGTGTTGTTGTTGGCGTCGCGTTTCGATTTTTTCGCTATTGAATGAGATATCGCCGCGTTTTGAGCAGCGTCTTTGTTAGGGTGTTTTCGTTTTTTTAGTTTGGTTGTTGTGATTAGCTGATGTTGATGTTGTTCTTGTTGGTCGGGAAATATGTGCTGAGTTTGGTGTTTATCATCGTTCTGCTGCTGTTGTTGTGGGTGTGGGTGTGTTAGCAGTTGTTGTTTGACGACGCTTGCCACATTGTGTGGTTGTTGTGGCTGTTGTGGCTGCAGTAGAGACGGTTGTTGAAAAAATAGAAACTGTTTTTTAGGATAAAAAAGTTTTTGTATTTGAAGTTGTTGCTGTTGTTGTTGTTGGCATGGAAGTAAGTGCTGCTGCTGTTGTTGTTGTTGTTGGTTGATATTAAACTGATGTTGAAAATGCTGTTGAAATTGTTGCAATTGGAGTAGATATTTGTTGTTGTTGTTGTTGTTGTTGTTGATGTTGATGTTGTTGTTGTTGTTGCTGTTGTTGTTGTTGTTGTCCCATCCTGACTTTTCATGTTTCATCATAGTTGTACCTATAGATACATATGTTTCCCTTAATATTTTTCAATCTTTTAAACGTAAATTAAAAACTATTTATTCATTCATTTGTTCGTTCATTCAATCAATCAATA